TACCACAGTAAGTGGCCTGAAGTGGCACCAGCCCACAACGTCACGACTGCTACAGTCATTAAGTTTTTGAAGTCTGTCTTTGCCCGCGAGGGTTTGCCGCAAGAGATCACGACAGACAATGGTCCACAATTTATTTCAAAGGAGTTCAGCGATTTCTTGAAGACGCATGGTATCAAACATGTGAAGTCGTCCCTTTACCATCCCCAAGCTAATGGACAGGTAGAGAGATTCCATAGAGTCCTTAAGTCTGTTATTCAGTTGGCTATCGTCCAACATCGTCCGCTTTCCGAAGCCATTACAGAATATCTCGGGGTATACCGGAGTACGCGCCATGCCGCGACTGGAGAAACGCCAGCTTTTCTTTTACACGGTCGCACCCACCGGACGCGACTGCATCTTCAAGGGCGAGGGACCCCAGAGTCCGCCGTCCCTCCGCAGGTCGTTCAGGAAGAGCTTCCTGATAGAGTCAAGGCATATCAAATGAAGATGAAACAGTATTCGGATGCCCGGCGAGCAGTCAAGCACCCTGTTTTTGCTCCTGGGCAAGCAGTAAAGGTTTTCAAGCCTAACATTAGAGGGAAAATGCACAACAAATATGCTCCAGCGCAACATATACATGAACAAGTTGGGCCAGCCACACATAGATTAGATGATGGAACCATATGGAATGCAGACAAAATGACACGTACAACATTGAAACCACCCCAACGTCAGCCGTGGTGGCTTATGGATGATGACATACTACCTGCTTCAACTAATGCGGCTCCAGCTATAAGCCTGGGCCATGTGCCACCTGAGGGTCCGGCACCTGCAACTTTGCGTGCTGCGGCCCCCAGCGTTACTCCTGTCCGGGCGGCCCCTGTTGCCGTTCCTTCTTTTGCGGCCCCTGCGACCGGTCCTGTTTTTGCGGCCCCTGATGCCGGTCCTGTTCCGACGGCCCAAGAGGTCGTCCAAGCCACTGCGGCCCCTGTGGCCGCCCATGCTACTGCGGCACCCGGCCCTGGCCATATTGCTGTGGTGCCTGGTGCCTGTAGTCAAGCGACCCCTGGCGCTGCCCATGATCCTGCTGTGCCAGGCGTCGTTCCTCATCATACGGCTCCTGCAGCCCATGTAGCTGTGGTCCCTGGTGCTGCCCATGTACCGGTAGTACCCGGTGCCTTTCCTGTCCCTGGTGTACCCGGCACCAGTTCCGTGGTACCCTGCACCGTGCAAGATGCGGTGGTTTTCGGTGGCCTTCCCGCCACCGCAGTCCCCGGTGCCGTTCCTGATTCCGGTCTCCAAGCGGCCTTCCGCGCTGCTGTACCAGTCCAAGCCAGCAGCCAGCCACCAGTCCCGCCGGCTGCCCCGGCTGCAGTCTTCCAAGAGGCCTCCAGGCTCGCTTTCCAAGAGGGTCCTGAACCTTCCGTTCCTACAAGCGGTGCGATATTGAGCACCGCATCAAATTCATCTCAACTGGGACTCGGGTATTGGAGCGAGCTGCCGTCATCTAGCTCCGCAACGGTTTCAGCGGAGTCCCTGCACTCCGTTGGGCCAAAGACCTCCATGCTTTCCGAGCCTTCAGTGGCTCCTGGTTTAGCAGAAGACCTGGAATCAAGTCCTGAGGCAACCCAAGAATCGACTTCTACATCAGGTGACGGTGGTGCAGACACACCACCAAGGACATATCATACTCCACCACAATCCCCATCGGACACTCCACCACAACGCCCCACGCGGCGGAGACGACTTCCCGCAAAATTTCGTGACTTTCAAGTCTATATGTTCTCCAAAGACGCTCCTTAAAAACTCTGGGACTTAAATCATAGTGGTTTGCAATTTCATAGTGTGCACTGTATTTTTATGGGATAGATGTGAACAGATCGTTATTTTTGCATTTTTCACATGTCTTCAAATGTCAAATTTCCATGTTATGGACATGGAAGTTTGGACGAACTGCCTTATGTATATTTACTTACTGCCAATCCAGGGTTCAGCGCTGTGTGAATGTCTAAATAATTCCTGAACTTCACCACCACAGGACATACACGGTGTAGTTTTTTTTTGTGTGATGTATGAGTTGCCATAAGAGCACTCGTAAAAGGAACATCTTATTTCTTGTGTTTAGCAGGACTTGCTTCACTGAATTCTTCCAAGGAAGAAAAGACGTTATTTCTCATGTTTTCAGGAATTGTCCCCCTGAATTCACTTGTGAAAGTGAGTGTTATTTTCATGTTTCTAAAGGACTAGTCATTCATTTCACTTGCTGAGGTGAAAGTGTTATTCTTGCTTCGAAGGACTCGTCTTATAGCGAGATTACTTGAGTGTTCTTTGTTTCAAAAGGTTTCCAGTGACATTTTCACTTCCAGTGGAGATGTAGCATTCATGATCGTATCTTTGAAAATGTATTTCTTTACCCTTATTTTCCCCGACCACTTCACAATTATTTTCCTTGTAGTGATTGGTCGGTAGGGCTCAGTGTGCGTGTGATTTTCCATATCGTAAAGAGTAAGCTGTTCTTTTCGGTCTAGTACCAAGTTATCCAACAGTCATTTTGTCTAAGGGGGGAAAAGATGTAGTGTGCCATCAACTAGCTAGATGGCGCAAGAAGTCATGGTGTGTGGCGCTGCAACTAGATGGCGCCACTTGTCTGAGAATTGACATCCGCCCCTGCGAGCGGAAGTGTTGATCCCCGCGGATCTGAATGTTTGTATGCTGGTCACGACAATAAGACAGTCTTCACAAAAACTCCGAGCTGGTGTGACGTCTCTTCCTTTCGTCGGGGTTCCCGCCTTGGGCCCCGCACCTCGGCACCCCGCTGCCCACGCGCCGGCAATGTAAGCCTTTCCAGCATCTCTACAGGCCTTTCGGGGCGCTGTCTTTATCCTAGCTTTCCCTGTCTCTTTCCACCCATTCGTAATGGCCCCATGCGACCATAACATCTTGGCAACGAGCTTTAACCACTACACATACGTGCGAGAAACTTAGTTTTATGTTAGTCGCCATATTGAATTGCTCATAAAACCAATCTGAAATAGATCTGAAACCATATTTTTCAGATTACAAAAGCAGGAACCAACATTGCCTTATTAACATGAGTAGAGAGGCACTCCAGGTGGGGTCTTCAGAGAGCGGGCTTCACGTAAGAGTGAGTGAACGGTTTTCCAATCCAGATGCATCCGTGCGAGAAACTTAGTTTTATGTTAGTCGCCATATTGTATTGCTCATAAAAGCAATCTGAAATAGATCTGAAACCATATTTTTCAGATTACCAAAGCAGGAACCAACATTGCCTTATTAACATGAGTAGAGAGGGACTCCAGGTGGGGTCTTCAGAGAGAGGGCTTCACGTGAGAGTGAGTGAACGGTTTTTCAATCCAGATGCATCCGCGGTAGTAACTTAGTTTGATGTTAGTCGCCATATTGTATTGCTCATAAAACCGATCTGAAATAGATCTCAAACCATATCTTTCAGATTACCAAAGCAGGAACCAACATTGCTTTATTAACATGAGTAGAGAGGCACTCCAGGTGGGGTCTTCAGAGAGAGGGCTTCACGTGAGAGTGAGTGAACGGTTTTCCAATCCAGATGCATCTGTGCGAGAAACTTAGTTTTATGTTAGTCGCCATATTGTATTGCTCATAAAACATTTCTGAAATAGATCTGAAACCATGATTTTCGGATAATCAAAGCAGGAACCAACCAACGAGCTTGAGTATTCCCTTAGAGCGGTAAACCGGAACCCACTGCCTGCAGCGGAAATGGCACCCCCCCGATTGCCGCCATCTTGCCTGTTTGCCACATTAGTGATCACGTGACTTAAAGATGACTGCGCCCAGAGGTGGGTCAGATCAGATTGGCCAGATCACGGTCAGCAGATGGGCTCTCTGGGGATGTGTTCCAATCTTACTCAAATAGACCCGAGTTATTCCGGCGAATCAAGTCACGTGACAAGACAGGTTGACGCGGGTAGGTTTTTGAACGCAACGGGTACAAGACCTTTTCCCAAGAGTGAGATAGAGTAAATTTTGGAACACGGCGACACGGCCAACACGGCCGCCTGAATGGGAGCCACTGTAGCCGAGCCGAGCGCGTGTGCGAGCTGGTCGGGGGCGGCTGGTGCGGCGACGGCGGCAACGGCGGTGCGAGTCGCATTGAACCGCGATGATCGTGCTGTGGGAGATTGGAAAATCTCCATGCGTGCTATGTTTGGCTAGGCAGACGATGAACAAATAGAGCCGGGTATGAACGTATGGCACAAGATCTAACCAGGTATGGGCACCGATCCGAATCGGTCGTAGTACATGTCAAACATCGCGTGGATATCTCGCATGAAAGTTTTGCATTCTCTCTGCACTCGACCTGCGGAATGTTCATTGCTCTTAAGGATAGGTACGCAAGGCATATGGAGTGTCTGCGATTGGAAGCCGAGAATGAATGCGTGAGAGGTTTTGGTGCTTTCGCGTGACTAAGGCTCGAGGATACGGTTGATCACGTCAGACGTTCCCGGCCGATTTTCTTTTACGTCCGACCCATATTAGGTTGCTATAGGTTGCCGTGCCCGTGGGGAACGGCACTGCTACCGTAAGTTCGCGCTGTGATTTGTAAGCATGGTCCTCGGAGTCCTGAGCCCTCGGCGCACACCAGGCGCCGTCTTTATATATAAGATCTCTACCGCGCATACGTCCGACGTACCTTTGAAAAAATCGGCCGAGTATGTCCAACGTATGTAAGGAATGCCTTCCGGGTACGTCCAAACTACCTTTAGACACAGCGTTAATTCTCTGCTTGCAAGGCGCCGGTAGTCGTCTGTAGGTGTCAACACGGCTGAGAATAGTGATGGAAACCAATGTCGTTGGTCAAAGTTCTCAAGACAGTGCTTACTCGCTCGCGTCGAAGCTTGTGAACGGTTACACCTGGAACCACTTTATGTCTCTTTTTTTCGGATACAGCTTTTTCCGGGATACCAGCAAGCGCTACAGCTGTTGCGCCGTCTTGTTACAGAAGGACGGCATCCGCAGACACAAGTGCAGTCCTTCAACCACTGCTGGTGTCAAGTGCAGGAAAATAACAAGGGGCTCACAGATTTTTTACAGAGCAGCCGAGACAGCATAATGCTGGATTGTAACTCTGTTGTTACAGTGTCTTTCACCAAGCACAGCTGTTCCGGGGACGGCCACGTGCTGTCTTTTTGCCTGTTTGCTACGGTCGACACGGTGGAGGCAGGTCGTGACATTGCACGGACGGCTGGACACCGAAGCGACGCAGGCTGACCATCAACCTTCTCAAGGGTGACCCATCTTCAGCCTCCTGAGTACGCTGAAGGCATCATACTCACCTAGGTCTGGTGCCATTGCAGCAAAGCACTTCTGCGCTTCACGAGGCATGCTTGCTTCTCTTTTTATGACTTTCTCTCGGGGCTCTGTCAGCATCTTCTTTGACTCTTGCTTTTGTTCGAGCGGTCATTTGGATCGTGAGAGAAAATAGTCTGCAGGGACTGCTGTCCCTGTCCAATATAGTGCCTTTAGCTTTCAGTGACGTCTTTCAGAAGCGACTACTAACAAAAGTCTCCGCACTTTCTCTACACTGGCATGGATCGAAAGCATCCTTACATATATGTCACTCCAGAGGCACTCCTGTAGCTTCTGGCGTACCAGAAAGACATCTAGTTGAACCATTGCTCCCTTTTGTGATTTTTTTTTAAAAAACTTGCCCTATCCTTGTCTTTTAGTGTTTTTCTTTTCTTCTTATGTCTGTGTCATTTACAGAGTCATATCAACCACACAAAACTTAATGTAACTTTGAAAGTTATGTAGACCTAAGTAATGGTTAGTTACACATCAACATATCTGCCGACATTTGTTCACTGCTTACTCCATTAGCATGCTGCCTGCGATGCGTCTCCGACTGGTGTGTTTACCGATTCTGAAAAAGTGGTCCCTCAATTTCCTCTCGGTGACGTCATACAAGCGTCATGCTGTTGCCGGCCGCAATCCTGGCAGTGTCACAGCAGCGCGGGTGAACGTGACGGACGCCTGTTTTGCTGCAGGTCGCTCTTCAGTGTTGCAGTCCACGGAAGTTTTGGCAGCTAGAAGTTGGGACGCCCTGACGACAGCGACACTCGTGTTCGGTTGTTCTACTCGCAGCCTTTTCGTTAGCATTTCTACGACCAACCGCCAGAATCACGACATGCAACAGCATGACACTTTGGCTTCTGTGACGTCATTTTTTTGCCACTTTGGGACCACTTTTGATGTATGGGCAGCATAGGACGCTAAACACACCGGTTGGAAACACGCTACGGACACCATACTATATATAACCTTGACATGGAATCTGTCTTGCACTGTGAATGTCTTGTACATTTCTCTTGCTACCTTCTCTGGAATGCCGTTTTCTGATTCAAAGCGCATCCTTGATTTCTTATGCTGTAACCTCCGTCTGGTTTTTTCATCTGTCAACTGCCTTGCTTATGTTGAAATAGTGCGACCAAAACTAGAATATGCGTCCTCGGCGTGGGAGCCACATGTTAAATGTCTCTCATCCAATTTCAGGGGTGGATGCAGGAATTTCCTGAGGAGGGGGGGGGGGGGGGGGGTCAGGTGTTGGTCAGCGTACCATATCTTTAGGAACCCCCTCCCCCTCTCCCTCGTTTCACGCCCTAAATTTTACGCATGCAGAAATCAAGAAGGGGGGGGTCAGGATATCCGGACCCCCCCTCTAAATCCGCCCCTGCCCAATCCGAATTTGGTTCAGAATCGGGCTAGTACTCGCTTTATTCTACATTTTAGGTTTGGTAGCATCACTGAACTTAAATGCAACTTAAATGCAGTTTTTTTTTTCAAACTCCCCTGTGTTCATATAGGCATATTAGTAAACTTTGTCTCCATCATAGGTTTTAATTCCTGCCTGATTTATTCATCTTGCCACCGCATCGGATATTCCCTCGCATTGATCACTGTTCCTCTCAACAGGCCTGTCGACTTTAATGGCCTGTCTGAAGCCACTGTTTCCCTCCAAGACATTGACTCCTTTCGTGACATATTAAGCTCAATATTTTATTAAATCACTCCATTATGCAATACCCTAACCCCAGGGCTCTTAGGATACTTAAAATAAATAAACAAAATGGAAAAAGTCGGTAGTTGGAAAGAAACTGGACGATTCTTGTCGTGAGAAGCCAAGTCTTTTGATATGTGGCGCCAAGTCTTCATAAATGGTGTTTTGCAAACAGAAGCCAGGCTCAGATGGCAAATGTAGCACAGGTTTAGTTATTGTCCACGAAAGAGCACGAGCTTGTTGAAGTATTGCCGGACGGGCACTCCCCTTTCCTCGGCACTTTGCTGCCGGCACATGTGGTGAATCCTCAGCTGAAAGTAGTGTGCCAGCATCTTCTTGAGCATGACAGAGAAGTGAGATTGATTGTCAATTGTTTGTGCAACAAACAGGTGGTCGAACCTCTTGAAGGATGGTGACAAGGAGACAATACTCAATGTCTCGGTTTGCAGCCTGAGAAGCCAGTTCCGCCCTCCCTTGGCCACTGTGTCGAAGTTTCTGCGAAGCACCTTCTCGGCAGTGGTGCAGAGATGCAGAATGTCTGGGGATGGACTGTGGAGACCGCCCTTGTCCTTGACACGCACCAGGTCACATTTGTCAGTGGTGAGAAGTGCAATCCTTGCACAGTCCGGGCATTTTGCGTCTTTTGCAAAGTGAACGGCCACATTGCCCGCAATGTATTGTACAATGCTCTCGGCAAACTCCGAGAGAGGCTTGTATCCTATAACCCAGGTGGCGTCGGCGTCGTCCTGGCTTGTGTCAGCTGTCGGGTCTTGCTGGCGCTTGTCCGACGAGCTCAAAAGGAGCGTCTCCGTGCCGTCGACCTGACAGTTGCCACGGCTCGAGGGCAGCACATTCGCGATGAGGCACTTCCTGTACGCCGAGCGAAATTCGAGGGCCGTAGGATTGTTGTTGTTGCCCGTTCTGTTCCTGATTGTTGCAAAGAACAATTCGAGGTGGTCTTGACTTAGCTTGCGTGTCAGCAGGCACTTGAGCAAAGGACTGCTGCTCCAAACGAGGTCTTCAGCCAGACCCTTGATGGACTGGAGGGCCAACAGAAATCCAACAATGGCGGTCTTTCTTGGACCTTGGATCAGGGGTCTGCCCGTGGTATCCTTTAGGCCTCTGAGATAGCGCGAGGCTTTGTCAATCCTTGTCAAGATTGTCTCCTTGTTGTTGACGCGAATGGGGGCCTTGCTGCCAAGAGCGAGAGGGTGGCAGGAATTGGTGAGGTCAAACGTGTCGTCCACTACTGCTGCAAACTCGGCAGTGGCCTCCACACCCTCAAAGCCGGGGATCTGCTTTTCCTTGCAGAACAACAAGGCGCAGCTGACGGAGCGGCTTAACGTCTGTGCCGCCAACGACACCTTCATCTTCTGTTGGTGGAAATCGATGTGCCGTCTCCGAAGTTTGTTCCCGGCGTGTAGGCCTTCCTTTTGTTGTAGGCGATCCAAACACATTATGTAATGCCAGGCAACAGTCCTACCCGCACCATCCCTGATGAGCTCCTTTTCAGCCAGCAGGTTTCGCATGAGCTTCAACATGTGGCATGCGTCTAAGATTGCATACACCCTTCTTGACGGGTCGGAGGGGTGAGGGAACCAGCTCTTCATTCTTGGTTCCGCCAGGCTTACGCCAAGCGCTGAGAGCATGGATAGATTGCAGCTTGTGCCGTCGCACGTCACAGAGATGCAGTCGGCACCAGCCTCCTTCAATTTTATCAGGTATTGCTGGACCAAATTGGACCGAACAGTGCCGTCGAGTCCATCAATCAGGGCATATCCCAGAGGTAGCTTCCAGTTGCGGTTGACGGCAACTGCCAGGAAAACAAGCGCGTGCTTCGCATATGCAATGCAGTCGTCTTTGAGGATGCCATGGCCCAGGTCGCAGTAGCCTACAACTTCCTTGCCGTCCCAGTCCGCTTGTTTCTTTATACTAATCTCATCTACCATAAGGCTGATGAGGAGAGGTCCTTTCTGAGCTTCGTGGGAAACTTTTTCGAAGCACTCCTTTGTGAAGCCCGGCTTCGCACCAATCACGGCTGCCCATTTCCGAAGTGCGCTGGGGTGAGGCAGTTTCACATGTTTGCGCAGAAATTTGTAAGCTTTGGCCGAATAGAAATGCAGTGTCAAGGCAAACTTGCGCACATCTTCCGAGTAGCTGTTGTTTGCCTTTCCTGTTTTTTTCAGCACAATGTCTCGCAGTGTGCCACTGAAGATGTTGTCCAGGATGGCTACCGCTGGTTGAGGTAGCTGTGCCCTGAGTTTCTTCAGCAGCGCATTGAGTTTTTTTATCTTCATTCCCTTCCGGTTCGCCTTTCTTTTTGCTTGTCTTAGGATCTTCTTGGCTTTTCGCAGCTTGCGCTTGCTGGCAGCTAGAAGCATCCTGTCCCGTCGTGGAGACACAACTGTGTAGCTGTGGTCGCCAGAGCAGGTGGCCGGCCGTGAGGATGGAGCTTCGGGGCTGCTTGACGCTGCTTGAGAATCTGCTGTGGATGGGGCGTGTGGAGAGGGAAAGTCAGTCTGGCGGGACCGTTGAGATCGGACCACTTGGGAGGTGGAGGGAAAGTCAGTTCGGGGGTGTTGTTGAGGTCTGTCCGTTTGAGGGGTGAACAGTGTGGGCACTGCTCCTTGTTTGAGGTTAGTCTTGCCAACAAGCCTGTGGAAGCAGTCATTTTCGAAGTGCTCTGAACACAGCTTGGAGAACTTGGTGGGAGTCCAGTGTATGCATTCCATTTTCTGCAGCCATGCCTGGAGGAGTTCTGGATGTCTCAGTGGAAATCTGCGGGAGACAACGAGGTCGGACTGTCAAAACACCGAAACAATGCTGTCTTTCAATAAAGCAAATACATATTTGTGCATTTCTAATTATTGTTTGTGTGCATTTTATTATAGAAAAATATGCTTATTCTAAACTACCCCTTCTGCCTCATTTATATGCCACTAATATTTGAAGTTTCTGAAACATTTGTTGCAAGTATGACGAGCAGGTAATTTGAAATGTTTCAAACCCAATTTGGAGTAGTTTAGATAATGTGCTTCAACCACAGAGCAACTTTCAAATATGTGCGGTTGTCCTACATAAATGTGCCCAAAACTGCAAGTTTAGATCCAATGATTGCGCTTGCTTGCCTATCGCATATTTAACTGTATTATAATGATGCGACTTAATTATGCCGAAATGCGGGCTAAGGTTCGTAAAGATCGCAACGCAGTTGGAAAGAGTTGACCGCAGTAATTTGAGAGTTAGTGGAAAGCTTACCCGTGGAACGTTATTGCCGAGTCCTTCTTGTACCTGTTAGTACAGTTAGGAGCCGCGCACGAATGCGGCATAGCTTTTAGAGTTCAAATCAAGTTAGAAATAAAATGGCAAAGGAATCGGACACGACGAGCTGACAGCCTCTGAACCACAGGAATATGCGCAGTCGTCTGCTATCTTTTGGCCGCAAATTCAAACGAAGCTTGATTGAAGTCAATGTTGTAGATTACTTTATTACATCAGTTATAAGCACTAAAAAACTGTGCCACTTTGTCAACATTGCAGTTATAACCAAAATCACACAAAAAATTGCGCGCCAAAATTGTCGTCTGCTACTTTTTGCGCGCCCTAGCTGCTGCTGTTCAATTCCATGAAATGCCCAAACCGGCATCTTCCAGCGATAATACGAAATCGGCATACACATATCAAGCAACAAATAGGAATTTCCGTTCTCAGTAGCATGCATTAGACAATAGACTATCGAAGTGATATGTTTGAAATCATACTTGCGTGCCTGCAAGATGCTTCCACCACAGTGCAGTGTTGAAATGTGCACCGTTGTCAAGGGGGTTTGTATTAATGCATGCTACTAAGAACGGAAATTCCTATTTGTTGCTTGATATGTGTATGCCGATTTCGTATTATCGCTGGAAGATGCCGGTTTGAGCATTTCATGGAATTGAACAGCAGCAGCTAGGGCGCGCAAAAAGTAGCAGACGACAATTTTGGCGCGCAATTTTTTGTGTGATTTTGGTTATAACTGCAATGTTGACAAAGTGGCACAGTTTTTTAGTGCTTATAACTGATGTAATAAAGTAATCTACAACATTGACTTCAATCAAGCTTCGTTTGAATTTGCGGCCAAAAGATAGCAGACGACTGCGCATATTCCTGTGGTTCAGAGGCTGTCAGCTCGTCGTGTCCGATTCCTTTGCCATTTTATTTCTAACTTGATTTGAACTCTAAAAGCTATGCCGCATTCGTGCGCGGCTCCTAACTGTACTAACAGGTACAAGAAGGACTCGGCAATAACGTTCCACGGGTAAGCTTTCCACTAACTCTCAAATTACTGCGGTCAACTCTTTCCAACTGCGTTGCGATCTTTACGAACCTTAGCCCGCATTTCGGCATAATTAAGTCGCATCATTATAATACAGTTAAATATGCGATAGGCAAGCAAGCGCAATCATTGGATCTAAACTTGCAGTTTTGGGCACATTTATGTAGGACAACCGCACATATTTGAAAGTTGCTCTGTGGTTGAAGCACATTATCTAAACTACTCCAAATTGGGTTTGAAACATTTCAAATTACCTGCTCGTCATACTTGCAACAAATGTTTCAGAAACTTCAAATATTAGTGGCATATAAATGAGGCAGAAGGGGTAGTTTAGAATAAGCATATTTTTCTATAATAAAATGCACACAAACAATAATTAGAAATGCACAAATATGTATTTGCTTTATTGAAAGACAGCATTGTTTCGGTGTTTTGACAGTCCGACCTCGTTGTCTCCCGCAGATTTCCACTGAGACATCCAGAACTCCTCCAGGCATGGCTGCAGAAAATGGAATGCATACACTGGACTCCCACCAAGTTCTCCAAGCTGTGTTCAGAGCACTTCGAAAATGACTGCTTCCACAGGCTTGTTGGCAAGACTAACCTCAAACAAGGAGCAGTGCCCACACTGTTCACCCCTCAAACGGACAGACCTCAACAACACCCCCGAACTGACTTTCCCTCCACCTCCCAAGTGGTCCGATCTCAACGGTCCCGCCAGACTGACTTTCCCTCTCCACACGCCCCATCCACAGCAGATTCTCAAGCAGCGTCAAGCAGCCCCGAAGCTCCATCCTCACGGCCGGCCACCTGCTCTGGCGACCACAGCTACACAGTTGTGTCTCCACGACGGGACAGGATGCTTCTAGCTGCCAGCAAGCGCAAGCTGCGAAAAGCCAAGAAGATCCTAAGACAAGCAAAAAGAAAGGCGAACCGGAAGGGAATGAAGATAAAAAAACTCAATGCGCTGCTGAAGAAACTCAGGGCACAGCTACCTCAACCAGCGGTAGCCATCCTGGACAACATCTTCAGTGGCACACTGCGAGACATTGTGCTGAAAAAAACAGGAAAGGCAAACAACAGCTACTCGGAAGATGTGCGCAAGTTTGCCTTGACACTGCATTTCTATTCGGCCAAAGCTTACAAATTTCTGCGCAAACATGTGAAACTGCCTCACCCCAGCGCACTTCGGAAATGGGCAGCCGTGATTGGTGCGAAGCCGGGCTTCACAAAGGAGTGCTTCGAAAAAGTTTCCCACGAAGCTCAGAAAGGACCTCTCCTCATCAGCCTTATGGTAGATGAGATTAGTATAAAGAAACAAGCGGACTGGGACGGCAAGGAAGTTGTAGGCTACTGCGACCTGGGCCATGGCATCCTCAAAGACGACTGCATTGCATATGCGAAGCACGCGCTTGTTTTCCTGGCAGTTGCCGTCAACCGCAACTGGAAGCTACCTCTGGGATATGCCCTGATTGATGGACTCGACGGCACTGTTCGGTCCAATTTGGTCCAGCAATACCTGATAAAATTGAAGGAGGCTGGTGCCGACTGCATCTCTGTGACGTGCGACGGCACAAGCTGCAATCTATCCATGCTCTCAGCGCTTGGCGTAAGCCTGGCGGAACCAAGAATGAAGAGCTGGTTCCCTCACCCCTCCGACCCGTCAAGAAGGGTGTATGCAATCTTAGACGCATGCCACATGTTGAAGCTCATGCGAAACCTGCTGGCTGAAAAGGAGCTCATCAGGGATGGTGCGGGTAGGACTGTTGCCTGGCATTACATAATGTGTTTGGATCGCCTACAACAAAAGGAAGGCCTACACGCCGGGAACAAACTTCGGAGACGGCACATCGATTTCCACCAACAGAAGATGAAGGTGTCGTTGGCGGCACAGACGTTAAGCCGCTCCGTCAGCTGCGCCTTGTTGTTCTGCAAGGAAAAGCAGATCCCCGGCTTTGAGGGTGTGGAGGCCACTGCCGAGTTTGCAGCAGTAGTGGACGACACGTTTGACCTCACCAATTCCTGCCACCCTCTCGCTCTTGGCAGCAAGGCCCCCATTCGCGTCAACAACAAGGAGACAATCTTGACAAGGATTGACAAAGCCTCGCGCTATCTCAGAGGCCTAAAGGATACCACGGGCAGACCCCTGATCCAAGGTCCAAGAAAGACCGCCATTGTTGGATTTCTGTTGGCCCTCCAGTCCATCAAGGGTCTGGCTGAAGACCTCGTTTGGAGCAGTAGTCCTTTGCTCAAGTGCCTGCTGACACGCAAGCTAAGTCAAGACCACCTCGAATTGTTCTTTGCAACAATCAGGAACAGAACGGGCAACAACAACAATCCTACGGCCCTCGAATTTCGCTCGGCGTACAGGAAGTGCCTCATCGCGAATGTGCTGCCCTCGAGCCGTGGCAACTGTCAGGTCGACGGCACGGAGACGCTCCTTTTGAGCTCGTCGGACAAGCGCCAGCAAGACCCGACAGCTGACACAAGCCAGGACGACGCCGACGCCACCTGGGTTATAGGATACAAGCCTCTCTCGGAGTTTGTCGAGAGCATTGTACAATACATTGTGGGCAATGTGGCCGTTCACTTTGCAAAAGACGCAAAATGCCCGGACTGTGCAAGGATTGCACTTCTCACCACTGACAAATGTGACCTGGTGCGTGTCAAGGACAAGGGCGGTCTCCACAGTCCATCCCCAGACATTCTGCATCTCTGCACCACTGCCGAGAAGGTGCTTCGCAGAAACTTCGACACAGTGGCCAAGGGAGGGCGGAACTGGCTTCTCAGGCTGCAAACCGAGACATTGAGTATTGTCTCCTTGTCACCATCCTTCAAGAGGTTCGACCACCTGTTTGTTGCACAAACAATTGACAATCAATCTCACTTCTCTGTCATGCTCAAGAAGATGCTGGCACACTACTTTCAGCTGAGGATTCACCACATGTGCCGGCAGCAAAGTGCCGAGGAAAGGGGAGTGCCCGTCCGGCAATACTTCAACAAGCTCGTGCTCTTTCGTGGACAATAACTAAACCTGTGCTACATTTGCCATCTGAGCCTGGCTTCTGTTTGCAAAACACCATTTATGAAGACTTGGCGCCACATATCAAAAGACTTGGCTTCTCACGACAAGAATCGTCCAGTTTCTTTCCAACTACCGACTTTTTCCATTTTGTTTATTTATTTTAAGTATCCTAAGAGCCCTGGGGTTAGGGTATTGCATAATGGAGTGATTTAATAAAATATTGAGCTTAATATGTCACGAAAGGAGTCAATGTCTTGGAGGGAAACAGTGGCTTCAGACAGGCCATTAAAGTCGACAGGCCTGTTGAGAGGAACAGTGATCAATGCGAGGGAATATCCGATGCGGTGGCAAGATGAATAAATCAGGCAGGAATTAAAACCTATGATGGAGACAAAGTTTACTAATATGCCTATATGAACACAGGGGAGTTTGAAAAAAAAAACTGCATTTAAGTTGCATTTAAGTTCAGTGATGCTACCAAACCTAAAATGTAGAATAAAGCGAGTACTAGCCCGATTCTGAACCAAATCCGGATTGGGCAGGGGCGGATTTAGAGGGGGGGTCCGGATATCCTGACCCCCCCTTCTTGATTTCTGCATGCGTAAAATTTAGGGCGTGAAACGAGGGAGAGGGGGAGGGGGTTCCTAAAGATATGGTACGCTGACCAACACCTGACCCCCCCCCCCCCCCCCCCCCCTCCTCAGGAAATTCCTGCATCCACCCCTGAAATTGGATGAGAGACATTTAACATGTGGCTCCCACGCCGAGGACGCATATTCTAGTTTTGGTCGCACTATTTCAACATAAGCAAGGCAGTTGACAGATGAAAAAACCAGACGGAGGTTACAGCATAAGAAATCAAGGATGCGCTTTGAATCAGAAAACGGCATTCCAGAGAAGGTAGCAAGAGAAATGTACAAGACATTCACAGTGCAAGACAGATTCCATGTCAAGGTTATATATAGTATGGTGTCCGTAGCGTGTTTCCAACCGGTGTGTTTAGCGTCCTATGCTGCCCATACATCAAAAGTGGTCCCAAAGTGGCAAAAAATGACGTCACAGAAGCCAAAGTGTCATGCTGTTGCATGTCGTGATTCTGGCGGTTGGTCGTAGAAATGCTAACGAAAAGGCTGCGAGTAGAACAACCGAACACGAGTGTCGCTGTCGTCAGGGCGTCCCAACTTCTAGCTGCCAAAACTTCCGTGGACTGCAACACTGAAGAGCGACCTGCAGCAAAACAGGCGTCCGTCACGTTCACCCGCGCTGCTGTGACACTGCCAGGATTGCGGCCGGCAACAGCATGACGCTTGTATGACGTCACCGAGAGGAAATTGAGGGACCACTTTTTCAGAATCGGTAAACACACCAGTCGGAGACGCATCGCAGGCAGCATGCTAATGGAGTAAGCAGTGAACAAATGTCGGCAGATATGTAGATGTGTAACTAACCATTACTTAGGTCTACATAACTTTCAAAGTTACATTAAGTTTTGTGTGGTTCATATGACTCTGTAAATGACACAGACATAAGAAGAAAAGAAAAACACTAAAAGACAAGGATAGGGCAAGTTTTTTAAAAAAAAATCACAAAAGGGAGCAATGGTTCAACTAGATGTCTTTCTGGTACGCCAGAAGCTACAGGAGTGCCTCTGGAGTGACATATATGTAAGGATGCTTTCGATCCATGCCAGTGTAGAGAAAGTGCGGAGACTTTTGTTAGTAGTCGCTTCTGAAAGACGTCACTGAAAGCTAAAGGCACTATATTGGACAGGGACAGCAGTCCCTGCAGACTATTTTCTCTCACGATCCAAATGACCGCTCGAACAAAAGCAAGAGTCAAAGAAGATGCTGACAGAGCCCCGAGAGAAAGTCATAAAAAGAGAAGCAAGCATGCCTCGTGAAGCGCAGAAGTGCTTTGCTGCAATGGCACCAGACCTAGGTGAGTATGATGCCTTCAGCGTACTCAGGAGGCTGAAGATGGGTCACCCTTGAGAAGGTTGATGGTCAGCCTGCGTCGCTTCGGTGTCCAGCCGTCCGTGCAATGTCACGACCTGCCTCCACCGTGTCGACCGTAGCAAACAGGCAAAAAGACAGCACGTGGCCGTCCCCGGAACAGCTGTGCTTGGTGAAAGACACTGTAACAACAGAGTTACAATCCAGCATTATGCTGTCTCGGCTGCACTGTAAAAAATCTGTGAGCCCCTTGTTATTTTCCTGCACTTGACACCAGCAGTGGTTGAAGGACTGCACTTGTGTCTGCGGATGCCCAGTCCTTCTGTAACAAGACGGCGCAACAGCTGTAGCGCTTGCTGGTATCCCGGAAAAAGCTGTATTCGAAAAAAAGAGACATAAAGTGGTTCCAGGTGTAACCGTTCACAAGCTTCGACGCGAGCGAGTAAGCACTGTCTTGAGAACTTTGACCAACGACATTGGTTTCCATCACTATTCTCAGCCGTGTTGACACCTACAGACGACTACCGGCGCCTTGCAAGCAGAGAATTAACGCTGTGTCTAAAGGTAGTTTGGACGTACCCGGAAGGCATTCCTTACATACGTTGGACATACTCGGCCGATTTTTTCAAAGGTACGTCGGACGTATGCGCGGTAGAGATCTTATATATGAAGACGGCGCCTGGTGTGCGCCGAGGGCTCAGGACTCCGAGGACCATGCTTACAAATCACAGCGCGAACTTACGGTAGCAGTGCCGTTCCCCACGGGCACGGCAACCTATAGCAACCTAATATGGGTCGGACGTAAAAGAAAATCGGCCGGGAACGTCTGACGTGATCAACCGTATCCTCGAGCCTTAGTCACGCGAAAGCACCAAAACCTCTCACGCATTCATTCTCGGCTTCCAATCGCAGACACTCCATATGCCCTGCGTACCTATCCTTAAGAGCAATGAACATTCCGCAGGTCGAGTGCAGAGAGAATGCAAAACTTTCATGCGAGATATCCACGCGATGTTTGACATGTACTACGACCGATTCGGATCGGTGCCCATACCTGGTTAGATCTTGTGCCATACGTTCATACCCGGCTCTATTTGTTCATCGTCTGCCTAGCCAAACATAGCACGCATGGAGATTTTCCAATCTCCCACAGCACGATCATCGCGGTTCAATGCGACTCGCACCGCCGTTGCCGCCGTCGCCGCACCAGCCGCCCCCGACCAGCTCGCACACGCACACACTCGCGCTCGGCTCGGCTACAGTGGCTCCCATTCAAGCGGCCGTGTCGCCGTGTTCCAAAATTTACTCTATCTCACTCTTGAGAAAAGGTCTTGTACCCGTTGCGTTCAAAAACCTACCCGCGTCAACCTGTCTTGTTACGTGACTTGATTCGCCGGAATAACTCAGGTCTATTTGAGTAAGATTGGAACACATCCCCAGAGAGCCCATCTGCTGACCGTGATCTGGCCAATCTGATCTGACCCACCTCTGGGCGCAGCCATCTTTAAGTCACGTGATCACTAATGTGGCAAACAGGCAAGATGGCGGCAATCGGGGGGGTGCCATTTTCGGCTGCTGGTTTACCGCTCTAAGTTTACTCAAGCTCGTTGGAACCAACATTGCCTTATTAACATGAGTAGAGAGGCACTCCATGTGGGGTCTTCAGAGAGAGGGCTTCACGTGAGAGTGAGTGAACGGTTTTTCAATCCAGATGCATCCGCGCTAGTAACTTAGTTTGATGTTAGTCGCCATATTGTATTGCTCATAAAACCGATCTCAAATAGATCTGAAACCATATTTTTCAGATTACCAAAGCAGGAACCAACATTGCCTTATTAACATGAGTAGAGAGGCACTCCAGGTGGGGTCTTCAGAGAGAGGGCTTCACGTGAGAGTGAGTGGACGGTTTTTCAATCCAGATGCATCCGTGCGAGAAACTTAGTTTTATGTTAGTCGCCATATTGTATTGCTCATAATACCAATCTGAAATAGATCTGAAACCATATTTTTCAGATTACCAAAGCAGGAACCAACATTGCTTTATTAACATGGGTAGAGAGGCACTCCAGGTGGGGTCTTCAGAGAGAGGGCTTCACGTGAGAGTGAGTGAACGGGTTTTCAATCCAGATGCATCCGCGCTAGTAACTTAGTTTTATACAACGTTACTAAAACACTCAGTTGGGAAACTCGCCGTCGAAACCTGTCCCGCTGGCGTCCACCAGGACCGAGCTAAATGCGACAACAGCGCCACTCTTTATCATTTGTCTGTACCAGGTCTGTACTGTGGTCATCTTGAGCTTTCAGAAGGCATGTTTTTGCGTAAAAACAAACGAAAAAGACTCTTTTTGTATGAAATTTATTGGAGTTTAGTACAAGAAGAGGGGCACGTTATGTTTTTAAAATCTTTAGTTCGCAGGGTTTTGCGGCACAATTAATATTGTTTTTATACAACCATGCCTCAGCGGTCCTTTCAGGTAGCGCGACCCGCCCTAGGTGCATTTTAACTTCGGCAGTTGAACGCGGCGCGTCCGCCGGGGAGACAGGGGTGGCACCCTGTGCCGCTGTATCTGTTCTTATAGCCGAAATAGAAGTCACTTGCAGTTTGTCGAGTGGCCGCTGCCGGAAAAATGGTGGCGTTGTGTTCGTCATTAGCTCGGTGCTTGGAGACAGATCGGGGCCACTTTTTCAAAGCTGTCTATATGGGAGTTTCCCAACTGAGTGTTTTAGTAACGTTGGTTTTATGTTAGTCGCCATATTGTATTGCTCATAATACCAATCTGAAATAGATCTGAAACCATATTTTTCAGATTACCAAAGCAGGAACCAACATTCCCTTATTAACATGAGTAGAGAGGCACTCCAGGTGGGGTCTTCAGAGAGAGGGCTTCACGTGAGAGTGAGTGGACGGTTTTTCAATCCAGATGCATCCGCGCTAGTAACTTAGTTTGATGTTAGTCGCCATATTGTATTGCTCATAAAACCGATCTCAAATAGATCTGAAACCATATTTTTCAGATTACCAAAGCAGGAACCAACATTCCCTTATTAACATGAGTAGAGAGGCACTCCAGGTGGGGTCTTCAGAGAGAGGGCTTCACGTGAGAGTGATGGAACGGTTTTTCAATCCAGATGCATCCGCGGTAGTAACTTAGGCTATGTTCCAAATCTTACCCGAGTAACCTGCCTCCTACGTCAGCGGGTAATACCACGTGACATCGCGAGTAAACGATCCGCGACTCGATTTTGGAACGGCCAGGATAATCACCTGGATACTACGCGGATTGGTTTCGTCTTGGGCGACGGCAAAAAGAAAACACAGCAGCGATGGCAGAAAATAGCAGACGATCCTATTGATCATGGAGAAAGCACCCGAAGAACGGCGATGTTAATGACGACGCGGTGTATTTTGAGGTGGATCCACCAGCTCCTTTTACTCACCTTCGTTTTGAGCTGTATATTGAGATCAAAATTACTTACTCCTTACAGCTAGACATAAAAAAACGTGTTTTTATTAATCAGCGCCATTGCTGCAATTCTAGTCACGGTGCCCTAAACGCATATATTCCACGCATTGTAATTTGCACCGATTATGTTTTGCAGAAATATATTCCACACGGTGTAGCGGTACAGCGCGAGGGTGCTTTCTCCAGAATGATATAAAACTCACGTTCGCTTTGACGCGAATGTGATTACAGTGAAATTTTCGAAGCCTTCACTGCTTTACAAACGTTATCCTCTCATTACGCACTTTCTGGAGGAAACAAAAATATTACATTATCATATACCGAGTTCAAACATTTTCGGCCTTGAACGTGAGATTACGGCATTCCCCCAACGCCGAGGACGAGGATGCGGAGAAGCTCTTGTTTACGCTCGCACTCAGATAATGAGTACACGTTCCCGGGGAAGGTGGTCGGTCTGGATGTAATGCAGTCAATTCCTGCGTTGACAACAGCAAATCGCAATAACCACACATGCTGCACCTAATTCTTTGTCATTTCGAACGTCCGCCACCAAAACCAACGGAGCAAGCGAGCTTTGACGGCTGTCGGCGCAGAAAGCAGACGACGAACAGATCACGTGACGTATTTACTCGATTTGATCCGACTTTACCCCCCGATCGAGGAGGGTAGCGCGAGTAATTACTCCGGAGTAAACAACCCGCTTCTGGAACGCGAGTTCTGACGTCATCGAGTAAGCTCGAGTAAGTTTTGGAACGCCGCGGTACGAAACTTTTACTCCGGAGTCGGATCGAGTAAATTTTGGAACACAGCCTTAGTTTGATGTTAGTCGCCAAATTGTATTGCTCATAAAACCGATCTGAAATAGATCTGAAACCATATTTTTCAGATTACCAAAGCAGGAACCAACATTGCTTTATTAACATGGGTAGAGAGGCACTCCAGGTGGGGTCTTCAGAGAGAGGGCTTCACGTGAGAGTGAGTGGACGGTTTTTCAATCCAGATGCATCCGTGCGAGAAACTTAGTTTTATGTTAGTCGCCATATTGTATTGCTCATAAAACCAATCTGAAATAGATCTGAAACCATATTTTTCAGATTACCAAAGCAGGAACCAACATTGCCTTATTAACATGAGTAGAGAGGCACTCCAGGTGGGGTCTTCAGGGAGAGGGCTTCACGTGAGAGTGAGTGGACGGTTTTTCAATCCAGATGCATCCGTGCGAGAAACTTAGTTTTATGTTAGTCGCCATATTGTATTGCTCATAAAACCAATCTGAAATAGATCTGAAACCATATTTTTCAGATTACCAAAGCAGGAACCAACATTCCCTTATTAACATGAGTAGAGAGGCACTCCAGGTGGGGTCTTCAGAGAGAGGGCTTCACGTGAGAGTGAGTGAACGGTTTTTCAATCCAGATGCATCCGTGCGAGAAACTTAGTTTTATGTTAGTCGCCATATTGTATTGCTCATAAAACCAATCTGAAATAGATCTGAAACCATATTTTTCAGATTACCAAAGCAGGAACCAACATTGCCTTATTAACATGAGTAGAGAGGCACTCCAGGTGGGGTCTTCAGAGAGAGGGCTTCACGTGAGAGTGAGTGGACGGTTTTTCAATCCAGATGCATCCGCGATAGTAACTTAGTTTTATGTTAGTCGCCATATTGTATTGCTCATAAAACCAATCTGAAATAGATCTGAAACCATAATTTTCGGATTATCAAAGCAGGAACCAACTTTGCCTTATTAACAAGAATAGAAAGGCACTGCAGGTGGGGTCTTCAGAAAGAGGGCTTCACGTGAGAGTGAGTGAACGGTTTTTCAATCCAGATGCATCCGTGCGAGAAACTTAGTTCTATGTTAGTCGCCTTATTGTATTGCTCATAAAACCAATCTGAAATAGATCTGCAACCATATTTTTCAGATTACCAAAGCAGGAACCAACATTGCCTTATTCCAACGAGGTAGAGGGGCTTAGAGCGATAAACCGGGGTTCCGGTCTGCACTCGAAAGTGACCCCCATAAGGCGGCTGCCATTGTACGCAAATGTGACCACACGTCACATGACCAAACCGAATACGTGACGTCACAGGAAACATGGCAGCGCCCATGCAGCGGCTGGCCCCAGCTGGGCCCGAGCATTGGCCGGAGCTTGTCGACAGCTTGTCGGATGCTTTGTTCGTTGTCTTTCGTCTCGGCGAGTTGATTTTAGAGGCGGAAGCCGTCATATGATGTTGTATGAGGCCGGTCAAAAGCGACTTCGGAGTTCAGCGCGGTGTCTGACGTAGGTATAACGTGAAAATACGGAGGAACGGTGTGCACTTCGCTAGTGACCGACGAGGATATTGCCACCCTACGTTACTCGGACCTCGGATTGATTTGGACACCGCTAGGATAAATATTAAGGCGACGTTTTTGTGCTCTCCTTGACCATCGGAACCTTCGTGATCTGCAGTAAAGCGTGTGCAATATATTTCGATACACAGTTTAGCGACGGAAATTGCGTGAGTCGTGCTTGGCAGTGCGCAATCGTGGTGCCGCTTCGTTCAAATGACCGAAGGCTCACTTTGGTTGTGCGGTGCACCGGAGAGCTCCCTTGCCGCTTGTAGTTCCCGTGCCGTGCTAAATGATACTGTGCTGCTTCCCAAATTGTTCCGGCGTAGACGTGCACTTTCACGGAGCAGAAGTGTGCCGTGCGCCGAAGAGCTGCCTTCAAGCTGGTAGTTCCTGTGCCGTGCTTTAGGTGATGCTGTGCTGCCTACTAAATTGTTTTGGCGTAGACGTGCACTTTCACGGAGCACAGGTGTTGCAGTTGGTATTGATTCCGCTGGTCTGTCGCACGTTTCGTCGACACTAAAGTTTCATCAACACTTGTTACGCGAATTGCAAGCTGTATGGACATTTCATCGCGCGTGTTACCTACCCAGTCCACCCGTTCACGCCGCTTTGCGACGGCGGTCTGCAGAGGCCCATTACCAGAAAGGTGGTCCCTCATTGATTTCAGTTCAGCTCGTCGACGGCAGTCGCCAGACCCCGAAGAAGAGGATTTATTAGGACAGAATGCCACTAAAGCAATGCAGCTTCTTTAGTGGTCAGGATAGGCCTTTTTCTGTCTGTTTTGTTATATTGTCACGGATGCTTGCTCCAGTCCTATTTTCTATCAATATTTTCTATTCTGGAAAGTTCCAGGCCACGCTCAGCTGTCATTGTATGTTCTGGTGGAGGTGCTGCGCACTTTACCCATAGCCCTTCACTCTGTGTGGACCCCGGCGGCTCCTCAGCCGAGTTGCCCGATAACAAGACACGGGTGGCACATTATCCCGAGGCTTGAACCCCCGGCGAGCCTTGAACCAAGTCCTTTCTTGAGCCTGGCAGAAAAACCGCAAGACGAGCGAGTACCACGAAGACGAAACTCGGAAATACACCACGAAGAACTTGAAATCTAAGCCAGTCGCTGCTACCAGCAAGAACCACCGGAATTAGGTATTTTGCCAGAAAAACCGAAGCTGACTAAGCCAACAATGAGAAACCACGTCCGCTCCCACCATCGTTTGCATGCCCGTCGCACCTCGCACTCTGATGCCCTTTCACGCAAGGTGCATAAGACGTCGAGGGCTGGATTGAACAATATGACCGTGTCGCCCGCCACAGTGGGTAGATGGACAACCAGCTCCTGCGGAACCTATATTTCTCGTGGAAGAAACTGCGAGGCACTGGTTTGAAAACCACGAATCCTCCTTAACGTCGTGGGAAGTTTGCAAGATCGAGCTGAAGCGCACGTTCATCAGCCAAAATTGACAAAAGAGCCGAATTCCTGATTCTGTCCAGGACACGGCCCCGATGAGAGCGTCACCACCTTCGTGGAGGATGTTTTGCTTCTGATCGAGCACCCATGCCAACCCTGATGCTACAGAAGACAAGAGGCTAAGAATCCCATGTCCCTCATCTGAGGGACAACACCTTCGGCAGCCCTGTCCGCGACCCCACGCCAACAGTCGAAGGGTTCATATCAATGAGGCTTCCAACATTGAATGTAGACTGCAGGCCCGAACCTGTCACAATCAACAACTCTTTAGCGTCTCGACACTCGAGTCGTCCAGCTGCAACTTCGACACCAGCTTCCCAGGGATCCGTGACATCATCCTCCACAACGGTGTCCAGGCCTTTATTTTGATCGCCGAGATTGTTTCAGAAGAAGTTCGACAGGCATTTCAACTGGAGACTTCTTCGACCGAAGCGGCATCTGACGAACCGAGGGCGACTTATGCCACAAAGTCACGACGGCCACCACCGGCTACCTGTTACTATCCAATGCCAATTCAACGAGACACCCCAACGCTGAAGCATTCCCGACATTGGGAAGAACCAGCGTAGGTCCGCGCAGAACAAAGTACACTGAGGAAAATGGAGGTACTGCGAATGGCCGACCGAAAACCACTCTGCTACCACTGCATGAGGCCGACCATGTCTACTGGAGGTGCCCGTACCAATGAATTGGCTTGCAAGGGTTCGTGCCGAACGACCCTCGACCACGTCTCGACGAGCGTCGGGGAGCATTGAGGATTATCTTCGGCGGTCTTTGTCCCTGGTGCCGACATTACCCCGAAGCTCGTGATCTACTTCATCTGGACGGGAGGTAAGCACGACAAAGCTGGTAAGCAATAATGCAAGGAGAGTTCATCTGGTGTCGGTTGTAGTCTAAGGACAATACCTAATAATTTGCTGACACTAATTATCTGTGTCCACGCCACGAAGTGCACAATTTTCAACTTTGATGGAGGATGCCGCTCAGTGACCTTAAGAAATAGAATGGTTGGTTCTTCTCAAAAGTGGACTGCAAGCATTACAAGACTTCACTTTGCCACACAAGACTTGCACAAGTTGCAGAGGTCGTAGGATGCAGAATAAATCTCCATTACGAAATGGAAGTGAAATGGCTTGGATAGCAAACAAACATTGTTGCCAGCTATCAAGTCAACGGTACAGCAAAAGGCACAGCCACATAACAAACACATGCCCGAGCTTGCTACATTGATGCAGAAAACTACCAGGAAAATTTTGCGGATTAGAAGCCAGCCCTGCAGCTTCAGTGCATCAGATGTCACTGGGCGCACATGACGTATGATTACAAGATGGCATCAGTCGGTCAAAGTTGCTACTCGACCAAGCTGAACACCGACGTGCCAGGAGCGTCATCCCACAACAAAGTCAACAGGTATTACGACTGAACGCCTGACAGGAGGCTGCCGCAGAAAGAACTCGTTCTGGAACCATTAACTAAAAATCAATGATTATGTAATCCAGTGGAAATAAATATATTTGATACACTAACCAGATAAACCTATTTCCGCTTGCCTTTACGCCTTGAGAGTTTATACACCAAGAATTGTGTTCACCGCACGCGCAGGTCCTTTTGAGGACACTCGCATCTCTAACCCTTCAATATTAATTAATGGGACATACCAGACTGGCAGACTTGTTGCATTGGGCTGCACTCATTCCACTTCTCCTGAACATGTGGCACATCCGAAAACCAACTCCAGTGATGTGAAAATGTTATTTATTAATTTATTCCCTCCAGGGGCCTTCGTAGGCATTGCAGAGAGGATACTTAAAACTACACACATTATAACATTAAAGCACACTGCTGTAACTTGTTAATTGCAAAAACAAACACACCTCTGAGCATATACTTTAATAGTATGTGTTGATGCATTGTTATATAGCACGACACTTCCTATACGTATGACACAATAGACCCCTTGAAGAACCCCATCAAGCAACACAACTGTTACCATTTTTTTCGGCGTAAAGCACACAAATGGGCCCCAGTTCACGTCGAATGCTAACGCAGCATTAGAGTCCAATAAGCGCTGAGCCGAGTTCACAGTGATGGCGGACATAACATTCTTGTCGAACAAATGACCAAAGTATGAAAGCCTGGGGTAATTAGAGTAGCAGCTACTGTAATTTGTTTCATCACAATTTGGCAAACAGCAAAGGCTACAGTCTCGGTGAGCCAATATGCACGTTGGAGAGAGGAACATGACATGTCATTCAGAGTGCTCGTCCGCACAGATTTGTCACACACCTTCACTCTGTCTCTCTGATTGGCTCGA